CTGGCATGTCCTTAATCTTGGAAAAATGAACTTCCTAAATCTATTGAGATTAGTCTTGGATAGTCTTTGGTTTACAGGTTTGTTTTCTATCACATAACTTTAATTATCTGAAAAACTAAAGAAAATTTGCCAAACAGCACATTCTCTTGTTTAATCTGTTATTGTTTTGTAAAAAGAAATATATGTATATAATTTATATATAATTTTCCATCGATGTACATTACCAAGCTGAGTAGCACACTTATTAGTAAGACTCAGAGTAATAAAAAATACAAGTTCAGTTAGCAACTTAATGGAAAAACAAATTATGCTACATTTGTTTGCTGAAATGCTACACACTATATATAAGAAATAAACAAACACCACCAAAAGCTTTAATTCTCAATATTTCTATTGAGAAAAATAAGCCAAATAGATAAGAGTATATACTATATTGCTTTATTCTGATAAATTCTAGAAAATGAAAGCTAGTTTAAAGACATATGAAAACATTAGTAGTTTTATAAAGAAATGGTAGAAGAAGGGAAGGAGAGAAAACAAAAATCATATAAAAGACCAAGAGGAATGCTGAGGGGAGCTGACTTGTCACCTTCTTTAAAATAGGAATTTTTTTTCAACGCTTACTATTGTACAGGTTAAATGTGAATTTTATTGTCTGTCAATTAAAACTTATAAAATTTATTACAAGTAAACAACTGAAATTTTAGACAAAGAAGGAATGATAGGAAGGGACAAATAAATATGTTAAATGTCAGGTATACCTAAACATTTACCTGCCTGAACCCTTTCTCCATATTTTTAGGTAAATGCAGCAAAATCACACAGGTTCTTGTGACAGGAAGTGGATTCTGCAAACCACACTGGGCACGTTTAGCTCTGTCCTGGAGTTGATTAAGAGAACAACTGAGGCCAGCTGTGAGGAGCATAGGCCGGGATAGTAGGACTCACTCATGCCAGATATAAGCCCTTAGACACATACACAGCCCCTCCATGTGTGGGTTCACTTTCACATCTGTACATGAAGAAACCACTGACTCCTACAAAACCTAATATATACACATAGGTAAACATAAGTAAAAACATGAC